ACCTCTGTCAGCCCACATCACCGCCTTAAATCGATGGCTGTACATGGCGTGGGCCTGGCCTGCTGGCGTGTGCCCTCAAGCAGAACTGGGCCAGCTCTTCCGGTCACCCGAGCTTCCAGCACCACATGCCAGAGCGCACCCTCGGGCTAGGCTGGGTCCCGCCTCCATGTGCCCCATGCACTGTCAAGCTGGGCTGGCATCAGGGAGGCAAGACCCAGTCCAGTCCAAGGGCACGTGGCTCTGGAGTGCGTGCCAGGAACCCAGGTGACAGCAAGAGCTGGCCTGGTTCTGCTCAAGGGCATGCACCAAAGGGCTGGGGGCCAAGTGCAGCTGCTGGTCTGAGGTGGTACTGCACGCTGCCAGGGTCTCTGCCAGGAGCAGAGCATGAGCACCCCAATGGCCATTGTTGCTGTGGGGGGTCTGTGCACCATGTGGTGGGGGGGGGGAGCCCCAACCCTGCACACTCCACCTGCAAACCACCCCCACGACCCCCCCACCCACGTACCCACTTATGAACCCCATACCCTCAAACACCCACACAAGCCCCACACTACTCCCACAAAAATTACACCCACTCCCCATGGCCACACTACAGTCCTGCCCCATGCCCACACTGGTGCTGGGATATGTGGCCCCAGCCTGGGGGGGGGGTGGGGCTCCTGGTCCCAGATTCACTTGGGGGTGTGATGGACTGGGGAGGGGGAGAGGGGGTAGCAAGAGTGTGTGAAGAGAGAGAGATGGGGTTCAGGGCTGGGGGAGTGCTCAGGGTAGGAGAGGTTGCCAGAACCAGGCTTAGAGCTCTCCTGCCCCCATAGAGCAGCCTGGGCAGGGAGAGGCCTGTCTCAAAGGGAAGGGGCTTGCCCAGCCCAGTCCCTGAGTCCCAGTTGAGGGCTTCCCAGAAACAGCATGGGGATCGCTGGGGCCTAGGCACAGCCGCAGGGAGCAGAACAATAAGTGTTGGCACTACTCAGAGCCACAAAGCAGTGGGTGGGACAGCTGCAGCTGGACTCATGTCCTGGTGCTGGGACAGAGCTGCTGCTTGGGAGTGAGCTAGTGGGGGCAGTCAGGAGCTGCGGGTCAGGAGTGAGGGGCACTGATGGGTCTGTGGGTTGGGAGTGAAGGGCAAGGGCATGGGCAGAGGCAGGGCCGTGGCATCCCACTGCTGTCCAGCCCCCCACATCCTGATGAGTGAAGGGGGCGGGGACAGCTCTGATTTTTTTGATTTTTATTTATTTATTTATTTTTTTAGGATAAAAAAACACAAAAGTAAACGTCAAAGTGTATACATATTTAGAATTCATTTTATTATAATGATAGAGGCACTCGTAGGCTTCCAAAATGATTTAGAATTGTAAGTATATCAATAAAATATTGCCCAACTGATCTCTCTCTATATAGTGGTGCTTCATTTTCATTGCGGAAGAACACAGATTTTGGGTATTTTAATGAGAGAATTTGGGTTTTTTTATCAGAGAATTTTCAATTTTTAAACGGGGAACACCAGGATCTCTGCTGGTGAGGCATGTGGTGGGACCCAGGCAGAGGAGCCTGCTCAGGGCCAGCACCGGGGACCCAGCTGGAGGGCAGATGAGGTGGCTGACCTGGCTATTTGGGGCCAGTAGGACAAGCTTTAACAGTTAAAAGTGGGCCACTGCAATGAGCACATCTTCCAAGCAATAGTTGCCCAGACAGCAAGGCAGGGGCACCAGAAGACATGACAGCAGTGTTGTCCAAAGTCCATCTGTGCAGCCACAGCCCACTGGCAGCTGGCCCAGAGGTACAGGAGGCTCTGCTGCAGTGCCCATACCACAGGCCAGGCAGCCCTGCGGTCCCCATCTGGGTCTGGCAGGCACGCCATCATGGGGCCACATGCTGTACAGGTGGCAGCAGGTCACAGCCAGGCAGCAGCCCCCACTGCCAGACTGCCGTAGAGGGTGCAAGGGCCACTCTAGGTTATGGCTGCTTCAGCAGTCCAGCTGGCACAAAGAGCCCCAGATATCAGCTGACTGGGCCTCAGGCTCCTGAGGGCAAGTAGCTCTGAGGTGCTGGCCAGAGCAGCTTTTTATACTGCTGGGACCAGCACAGGTGCTGGCCCCAGCTTTCAGCTCCCCCTGGCTGAAGATCCGGTCAGTTTGCCCCAAGTAGCATTAATTTACCCCTCTCCAAAGTGTACGCTCATATACGTGTGCTGAGGTACAAATCTCTGGCACAAATTTGTGCCACCATTATTTGAGCTGCTGGAAGCGCGTGTGCCTGCATGTGTGGATGTACCCTTAGTTTCCTTATTTGTCTTGTGTCAGTCATCATTGCAATAAGAATAGTCGAATTGTAGAGAAAACTTCCAGCTCTTCTACTAATTTTGCATTAGCTGAAGACTTCCAGAATAGTTTGAAATATGTGTATCTGGTGTAAATATTCATTGGTTTATCAAACATTCCAGTTTAGGATGAAGAAACTCTTTCTTTGGGTCACTGAAATGGGAAAGGAGGGACTTTTGTCACATCTCTCTAAGCCTCCCTGTTTCTTATGGCAAGCCTTCTGTTTAGGGGTGACTGAGTGAGCCAAGAACAGGCAGATTTATTTTCATCCTCCAACATTTCTTAGAGGTTTTGAGAGGTCATATAAGATTTAAAAAGTGGATAAAAGTACATAATTGTGGAAAACATCTATAGTTTTAATAACTGGTGATAATGGGGTTTTATAGTATTTGTAAAATCATTCAAGACCTCTGCATACTGTTGATTTGGAACATCTGGACTTCTTTTTTAGGTCACTGTCTAATGTTTTGCATTGTAATGAAACAGTTTGACTCCTTCAAAAGTGAAATTTTGAAATGGGAAAATTAAGTCCAGAAAATTGACAACATTATTTAATTTCAGAATATTTTCCCCAATGGGAATTTTCCTTAAAAACAATGTGGTTTTAAACATTTGGACTTCAGCAAAAACAGGATCTTTTACTAAAACAGTTTGATACCTATATTTGCTAATTAATCATCTTAAACGTCTTAAACCATTTTGCATAACTATGGTGTGTGTATATAAAATGACTGATTTTTCTTATCCTTATCCTTACTAAGGTGGTAGAAAAATTGTCTTCTAGTGTTGTTATTGCTATTATTCTTGTTGTTAAAAGATACATTGTTGGACTCTGAACATATAGTTTGGACTGATTAAACATCTGACTGAGGAGTTAGTAAATGTCATGCTACTTTACTCTTGCATGTAACTTCATATCTTGAATGTGTGTGATTATGTGTCTTTTGCATAAGTTTCTTTAAATGTGTCTCCTTCCATGTTTTTATTGTAGCATTTACTTTGTATTCTGCTTTGTTTATGCATCTCTCAGTCATGGATTAAGCAGGTCTGTGAGTCTTCTCAATGCATGCAAACTGAAAAAGCCTACTATAAGGTGAGGGATTCTTGCTATTGTTTTAGTGTCAAGTTTCAGTAGTTTTTCCCTCCGGTCATAGCTCAATATATAGTAATTGTTTAGTTAGTGATAGTAGTAATATAGCAGTACACAAATGTAGTTATTAATACACCCATTAGTATTTTCAGAAATGATTTTTTGCAACATACGATCATAACCATTGTACTAATATGTAGTAACCATTTTAGAAAATATATAGTATAGCCATGGTTATCCAAGCCCCTTCGGACAGCATGTGCCAAAAAGCCCTTCAGGTAACTGAAATCATACAGGTAAGTGTAAACAGAATCTTGTGAAAAGTTGTACGTGCTAACACATGATGCAAAATGTAAAATCAAATTTAACAGTAGAGATACTAAATATATAAAACTTAATGGAGAGCAGCTTGCTATGCAACACCAACAGTTAAATGCTACTATATCAAACCTATGAATAAACATATATATAACTTTATATTAAATAAAGTTTAAAAGAGAATAGTATACAAAACAATTAAAAGATACAATACTGTATCAAACTTAAGAGTAGAGATACAGTACTGTATTAGATCAAACTTAAAAAGTTATACAATACCAGCAGTTACAAGTTAGTAAAAGAAGATGACATTTGGATAATTGGGGATGTACTGTAACTCCATTATAAAAAGAGGTAGCGTCTGATGAAGTGAGCTGTTGCTCGAGAAAGCTTATTCATCTCTGATTCAGTTAGTTTATAAGGTGTACTTCTACCTTCCCTTCCATTATATAGAATGTACTTGAAATCAAACTAATTTTGTTTTGTTCAAAACTATACCTTTGCTTAAAACGAAACAAGAGACCTGATTTGGACTCAACTATGTTCATACAACCCTGTAAATCAAAACTGTTTACAGCGAGTTACTGTGGTACATTTCCTCCTTGTTTTAAATTTCACTTGAAATGTCAATGGCCACATCCAGACGATCAGGGGCTTGCACTTTGTGGCGCCACAAACCACGTGCACAAAATGTTAAAATGTGCCCTGCTCTGCAAATTTGCAGCATGGGGCCAAAATTTACTACCAGGGAATCCTGGTAGAAAAAAAAAGTACCAGGTAAATAAACACGGTGTGGCGCACGCAACAGGAACGTGTGTCCAAAGACATAGGGGCTTAGTTCTCCAGAGAGACACTGTAGCTGCTGCCCAGAGCATCTCCACTCTTTCAGTTGTGCCCCAGCTCCTCCAGTATGCCAGGAGCTGGAAGGAGCTGGACACGGGCAGTTTGCCCAAAGTGGGACAATTTGACCCTCCACAAAGCACATGTACAGGGATGTGCACTGCGGCAAAAAGTAATGGAACAAATTTGTGCTGCTACTGTTTTTGCCACTACAAGTGCAACCCCCTCCACAGCTGGATGTGGCCAGTATTTGTAAAGCCCATATGGTTATTCATTGTTATTCTTTTGTCTCACCTTATTTTTATATGTTAACAATTTTCAGACCTACTAAGCTAGTTAATGGTATGATTGTATTGCTGCAACCATCATCTTTTCTTATCACTTCATTTCTATACTGTCTGTCACTGCCTAAGACTCATTTTGGCCTGTCTAAAACCTACATTGTAGGCTTTGTGAGGCAGGGATTTTATCCTGCTTTTTCTTCTGTGAAGTGCCTGGCATCATGCTCTTCAGTTCTATTAGATAAATAAAAGATATATAAGTATTTTGGGAGTTTGGCACATAAATATCATTAAGAAAGCAAAAAGTGTCATTGTATGAAGTTATACAAGTCAGTAATCGTGGCATATGTAGCCATTAGCTTTATACTGAACTGTCCTGAGGCAATGTTTTAAACTGCTCAATTTTGTCATATATTTTTCAATTGATGATAGTAGTTTAGTTAGTAGAAACTTTTTTAATATCAGTTTTCTTAATACTTTTGTAATTTGTGTTTTTAGATTGAGTAAGAATATTCTAACTGGAAGCAAAAAATATTAATGATTTTAAATATTAATGAAAAAGACCAAAATACCTCCTTTTACTTTTTTTGTAATTGAAAGAGTACTATAGATGTTCTTTCTGAACTAAGACTTCTTTCTCCAGAAGGAAGGCATCCATTTAAACATAAATCATTTTCACTTTTTCCATAATTTTGGAACTATTTAACATTTATTGCTTAAATTTGAGATTTTGAACTTAAAATGTGCTATTATTTGCAAATTGCTTAAAATGATAATTGGATGCAACAGGCTGCTTTGAAATCACAATTTTGTACCATACAGTGAAGTTCCATCATCTCCACAGTTAATAAACGTAACACAAAAAATGAGCTTTGATCCGTGGACACTTGATATGGATATAATTTCATGCCCTGGTGTAGAGTCTTGCAGTGGGATAACTTAGGCAAGTACAGGCCCTTATATAAGGATAAACATTTGCAGGACCAGAACATGAATCTGTAATTGGAACAATATTAAAATAGACTACATTATGAGATTTAGCAAGCTATATTTGATTATTATGTTACCAGTATTTTATCTACGCTGGTAGGCAAAGCTTACTGTGAGCATTCATCTCTTGCACTCAGCTCCTGTGCTAGTGAATAGTGGTTCAGTGTGCCAAGTGTTTACAGCGATCCCTTTGTACATTTTAAATGTAAAATCTTAAGTGATCATCTGTTTGGCTGTTAACTAACGGTGTTTATGCCTGAGTCTTTCTTTTGGTCAAAGAGGGCTGGAAGCAGAGGAAACACAACAGGATATAAGAACATCCCAGGGTATAAGCAGACATTTATATTTGTTGCACCATATCAACTGTTTTAGTGGAACAAAAAGCAGCTGCCCTCATGTTCTTGCTATTTTTTGTGCTAAAAATCCACAGATCCATGACAAATAAGTTGTTGTTTCAAAGAGCAACTTCTTTATCTGTCTGTGAATAACAAGTGTAATGTGTGGACAGGTCCTTCTGACATGCAGGGTCGCAGAGTGCTCAATTCTCTCTTTGCCTTCAAGCCTAGTGGGGAGCAGTCAGGGGCCCTGCAGTAAGTGGCTTGCAGACAGCCCTGTCCCAGTTGCCACTGGGCTAGAGCAGCAGCAGGGGCTGATCAGACAGCAGGGGTAATGGGGCTGCCCGTAAGCTGGGCTGCCGAAAGGGCTGCTGGTACTCAAGCTGGTGCAGCCTTTTTAAAGGGCTTGAACTTCAGCAGCCCTTTAAAGTTCCTGGCTCACAAAGTGCCTCTACAAATGCAGGGGGGGCTGCTCCGACGCATTGTGATTACAGCGTGTCAAAGCAGACTTGATTAATTGAGCCTGCTGGAGCGTGCTAATTAGCGCGCTCCAGCTAGCCTGCATCTCGTATCAGTGTCCTTGTTTTTCAAAATGGCAGTAGGGGCACTTTAACTAAAACTTGTTTGAGCTTTACTTAAAATGCCCCTGCTACTGTTGTGAAGTGCCAGGATGCTGATACACAAGACACTGTGGGCATTTTAATTAGAATGGCTCTCGGAGCTGTTTTAATTAAAGCACCCCCTACTCCACTCTTGGAGCATGTGTAAAAATGCCCACAGGCACTCCCACACCAGCTTGCACTCAGCTTCATCAGCTGTTTCTGCAGTGGCAACAGTTAATCAGGCAAACTTATCAGTGAGCCTGTCCCAGTGAGCCTCTCCCCAGGAAGGGGAATGCTAATGAGCAGCCACTTTTACCTCTTGGCTAGAGACCATCCCTTTAAACCAACTTTTTACTTCCCAGCTAGGAGGCTGTGCATGTATGGTCGTGTGTGTTGCACTATAGAATTCCACAGCACCCATAGCACGCCGACAATAATATCTGCTTAAGCACCCAATTGCTACCTTTTCAGGAAGGAAGATTGGAGGGTGGGAGAGGGAGGGAGACTTGCATCTCTGTGAACCCCATCCCAGAGGCTGGAAAATTTCACCATTTTTTAGATTATAGGGAATCTTTTCTCATAAATATAAGTATAAAATGCACATTTTAAAAAAGATAATAAGTGAAACTTCAGAAATATTTAAGAGTTCATCCATTTCAAGTGTATTAAAACTGTGTTTGAAATGTAATATATTTGTTACTGACAAGATCATGCTCTATGCATTTGCTTAGGAGGAGGATGCCATTGACTTGGCTTTTCCTACTTTTTCCTTTCAAATGGTGCCACTCCAGAGTTCCAGGTCACACTTGTTTCTAGCATTGAAGTCACCAAGGAGAATGATCTTGTCCTCCTTGGGAATATTAGTGAGAACATGGTCAAAATTGGAACAGAATTGTTCTTTGACATCATTGTCAGCATCAAGCATCAGGGCATACACATTGATGACAACGACATACTGGTTGTTGCTGAGCCAGAGGGTCATAAGATGTTTTTTGATGCCCATGTGGAATTCTAAGTTGACTAATGAGCATGTCCTTGATGGCAAAACCAATGCCTGCACTGGTTTCCCCTTCCAGAAGAAGGAATGGCCTTCACACACTTCCCTCAGCTGGCGCTTGTCTGGTTGTCTTGTTTCAGTCAGAGCTGTGATTTCGATGCATCTCACTAGATCCCTGGAGATTATAGCAGTTATTCTTTCCAGTCATTCATGCTCTTGATTGTTCAACAAGGTGTGAACATTCCTTGTTACAGAAGTCATTGTCTTTTTATGATGTTTCCAACTGCAGAGAAAGTGATTCCACTGGATACGGTCATCTAGCCAGGAGCAGATAAGACAGCCCAGTTTTAGGGCACATTTTGTAGTCTCCTCCCCATGTAAGGTGGGCATAGGGGATCTTGAATAGGACTGCTCAGTCATGGTATCAGCTGCTGAATAGCACCCCTGTGTCAACCCAGGTGCAGGACAGCCATCAAGCTACCTCTGTCTGCATGCATATTTGTGGCTGAAAATTGCCAGATTCACTGGTCCTGTCTCCATCACCACGGGTCCATCACTGTGGGGCTTTTGAATGTTGGTATGGGAGAGTTGTGCTTCCTGTGATAAAAGCCCATGCTTGACTTCATGCATCATGAGGAATCTGGTGTGGTGAAATAACCACATGATCTTAACAAGGAAGTCTGGTGTGCTGTCTAGGAAACCAAGAACAACAAGGCTACTGGACTGGATGGCATATGTGCTGAAACTTTCAAGGCTGGTGGTAAGGAATTGGTACTGGGACTCTACAAATTTATTCTCTGAATTTGGAACAACAGGGATATCTCTGGGGACCTGAAGAACACCAATATCGTGGCTGTCTTCAAGAAAGGAGATATATCCTATCAAGATGTTACTCTCTTTTCTATAGAACCCTCCTTTCTTGCCAAGGCTGTTGACTCCATCAGTCACAAAGGCTTGTGGAAAGTAGTGGCCAGATTTGAATGCCCTGAAAAATACGTCAAGATGCTGAGGCTTCTCTGTGACCAGATGATTGCCACTGTTCTTTGTAGTGAATCACAGATAGATCCATTTGTCATCCAAACTGGAGTCAAGCAAGGATGCTTCATTGCCCCGATTCTGGTTCTTGTTAAGGACCACCTCCCTTCCAGAATTGACACTGAATACCAAATGGCTGGAGAGCTTTTCAACCTGGGCCATTTTCACTTGAAGACCAAAATATTCAAAACAACCACCCATAACCTTCAGTATGCTGATGACTGCCATCTTTGCACACACTGAGGAAAAAACCCCTAAAGCATGTTGGATCTCTTTGAAGAAGCCTACTAAACTTGGGGTCTCTTGCTCAACACTGAGACGACTGAAGTGCTCTATCAGCCTGATCCAAGCCATGAATGCAACTCCCTTCCTCAAATTACCATCAAGGGGAAGACCCGTGAAGTCATCAAGCACTTCCCTTACCTTTCCCAGAGAGTGAACATTGATGAGATCCAGCACAAGATCCAGTGCCCAAGCACCTCCTTTAAGAAATTGCTTCAGCATGTTTTTATTGATCATGATCTCTGGAAAGACACCAGGATCCAGGTCTAAAACACAGTCACCATCTCCTCCTCTCCTCTATTAATGTGAAATGTGGGTAATCTACTGTTTTTTATCTCACGAGCCTGGAGAGCTATCATCAGTGATACCTCCAGAAAATCATCTGCATCAAATGAGAAGATCACAACACAGACACCAGCATCCTTGCTGAAACTAGTGTTATTAGCATTGAGCTTGTGATTCTCAAGCACCAGATTCACTGGACCAGAGATTTCATGCAGATGCCCAACTCTTGACTCCTGAAACAAGTGCTCTACTCCCAGTTCAGTTGTGGCCAGAGGAAATGCAACAAGGACACATTGAAAGTATTTCTCAGAAAAACAGACAATCAAGAACTGGGAGGAGCTGGCTGCTAACCGCTTCAGATGGTGCTACAACCTCAACCAAGTGACTCCCTGCTTTGTGGTAAAGTGCTTTGTCCTCTGAGCAGAGAAGACAGAGCAGAGGAAGTAAAAGAAGAGCAGTCTTGACCTGCAGCCTACTCTCCGCTGTGGAAAGACCTGCAACTTCTGTGGACAGATTGGTGGCTCAAGGATTGGACTCTTAAGTCACCTCAAGATTCATAAATGAGAGGTGATAGAGATCATCCTCAAATCAAGGAATTACCAATGACAATTCAATACTGAAGTAAAGGCTGAATGGATTTGTAAAGACAGCTTTTTAGTTGTCAAAATTTGACCTACTTTTAATAGTATATATAATCTGTTTGGGAATGAAAGCTGTTACTTTCTTTTTAAATCTCTCATACCATTTTTAAGGTGTTTGTAGGTTGTAATAATGTACAAAATTTCAAATGTGACCTCCCTCAGGTACTCTGCTTCAGTAGTAGATTGTATTACCTGAGCTATGAATATTCTAGCTGTTCTCAGTGATGCCAGTATAGCACACTTTGTAGAGCAAAAAAACTCAAAAACTAAACATGTGGTTTTCTGTTGCACTAGATCAGAGGTACCCAAACTTTTTGGAGGGCAGGGGGGTCCTCCACACGCCTGCACCACGCTCAGTGGTGAACCTAGAAGTGCCGGGCATGGAAGCACCAGTGGCAAACCTGGAAGTATTCTTGAACACTTCACGACCCTCCTGAGGGCACCCCGCAACCCTAGGTTGGGAATCGCTGCACAAATACCCAGCACTATGCTGTGTTGTAGCTTCTGAATAAATTGTTAGACATCAAAAAATAATTTTATTTGTTAAATAGATGTAATCCTGTTTTTAGAAATAAGTGCAACAAAATATTCTAAGACAGTTTATTAAAAAAAAAATTTTTTTTGTGTTAAATCTCTTTATATGCACTACTATGTAACTTACTGCCTTTTCTCTTAGTACTGTTAAGAGAACCAGTTCAGCTGAACGTGTATCCCCAGGAGGTCGAAGGGAAAGCTATGGAGATTCCAAAGGCAGTCGCAATCGCACTGGATCCACCAGCAGTTCTTCTAGTGGTAAAAAGAACAGCGAGAGGTATGAGGTACTTCCTTACTTTCCTCCTCCCTAATAATTACTCTGGCAATGAAGCTTTAAGCAAGTAGTTGGTGGAAGATTGGGGTTTGTTTGTTTTTTAATGTTTCAGCAGTTGAACAGTTAGATGACTATGCTTTCCTGAAGACAAGAGTGTTTTAAAATGCTCTGTGTCCAAATACTTTTTTTAATTAAGAGATTACAGATTGTTTGACATTTTGTATTTGAAGCTGTAAGCAGTGTGAAATTCTGAAGATGATAAAAAGTTCATAGATATGAATCCTTCTTTCCAATATCCTGTTAGACACCTCTGTGCTGCTTTTCATGACTTTTCTCCTTTGATAATGCAGTTACCTGGCTAGGGTATCATATCTGGATTCTCCTGAAGTGTTAGCAGATTATTGAAATAGCAGTTCACATTAGTAATAGAGGCATTGGTAACAATGCAGTAGTTTAAACTGTGGTGAGATGTGTACTTAATTAATATACTCATTTACCCACTTAAGACTGATTTCACTTTCCAGGCTTTTTTGGCAAATGTCATAGAACAATTGAGGTTTCCATAAATTTCTAAATGAAATAGTTACTAACTTTTGTAGAGGAGACATTTAAACTCACTTTTGGAATTTTGTCCTGTTCATTCTTATTCCATTGTATCCTTCTAGATAAAGGGTATCAAAGATAGGGCCATTGGGTTGGAACCAGCCCATGTAGCAGTTTCTCCTGGCCAACGAGGTTCCTGGAGAGGCCAGGAATCAAGGGTAGGGCAAGCAGGTATGGGGTCTGTTGCTGAACTTCCTGGTATGGAGCCTTGTTGGAGACCTGTATTGGCAGCAGGTGGTGAGCAACAGCTGCATTAACTCCCACCAGGTCTGGATCTTGTTGGTGAGGAGCCCCACAGTCTAGGTCCAGTCTGAGCTGGGGATTGAGTTTAACACTCCAGTTCTAAATAAATAGATTTTTTTCCACACATTGTGATAATGGTTTAGACTGGGGTGGGCAAAATGCGGGCCAGATGCGGCCCACCAGGCCATTCTATCTGGCCCACGGGGCCCCTAAAAAATTTAGAAAATTAATATTTATCTGCTGCTGGCTGCCTGTCATGTGGCCCTCTGGCTTGCCAAAACTCAGGAAGCGGCCCTCCGCCCGAAATAGTTGCCCGTCCCTTGTTTAGACAAAAGTCATTTTTAAAATTAAGCAATGCCATTCCCTTTATTCAAAAGTATCGGTGGAAAAATAGGTGACAGAACACCTCTGATCTCTCAACTCCTTGTTTTTTGTTATGGCTCTCCATACCCTCCTGGTTTAGAGGTAGAGTCTGGGAGAGAAATGGGGTCTGAGTGCTGAAGAGTATGGGGGAAGACGGGCAGGCTTACTGAGACATTTGTGGAAGAAGAATAGTTGAGCAGGGCTTTGGAGACAGGTTTTGCTGGAACTTGAGTTAGGAGAAGAAGCTTATGTGCAAGCACTGTAGAGAGCTGGAATATAGGGGAGCCCAACACCTTTACCTGTTCTTCAAGCACAACTGCTATGTCTTTTCAACACAATAGTTCAGAATCATTTCCCCATGCAGAGTGGTCTTGAGTAAGTCACTAGGCTGAACTTTAGGGAGCTGATTTCCTTCTAGCTGTGTCACAGGTTTTGTTTGTGACTTTGGTGATAACACTTAATTTCTCTGTGCCCCAGTTCCCCATCTGTTTAAAGGGGTGGGGAGGACAATGATGATGTTACTCTATCTTGCAGATGTTGTCATCATACAGGCATTAATAGTGAGAAGGATCTTGTATCAGCCTAATGTTGCTGAAGCCTTTCATACATTAATGAATCTATACATACAGTCACTGCATTACTCACCCATCCAGCTGACTACATGGATCCAGGCCCTATTCAGCACCTACCCACAGAAATCCTCTTGCCTCCACATTCATTCACTTGAATGATGTCTTGGCATCCTCCCTGGAGAGATAAGGGTGGGAGGTGCAGTGAGTTGAGAAGTGCTGAAATGTTTGTGGATAGGGTGTTGAGTGACTTGCTTACTTATTTCCTTGCTTTAAGACTTTAGTTTGGGGCTATGAAGTCACACAGCTATAACTCAAAGTTTCTGAAGCTTTTTGTATGAAACATAATAAATTATCTGAGGAAGTCTTTGGGGAAAAAATGAAAATGCCATGAGGGAGGATATAGTGAATTGTTTACATGAACCAAAAAGTAAGCCAGCCATACAAAGCCAGTGGCAGTGTATTCTTTGATGTATTCCTGAATGCAAAGTGGGATTTTGCAAACTGATATTTTGCAACAAGTTTGGCTGTTCTGAAAAGTTGGCTCTGTCTTGGAACATGTGACCTTTAAGTGTTGTAGCAGGGGTACAACCATGTCTCTTTAAACCATCCAGATTTTGTAAAGAGGATTTTATAACTTTATCATTACAGTGATTAATAATTTTTTGAGCTCTTGATACTAGGCATTAGACTTGTTCCAAGCTCATAGCTGAGGAGTAATTTGAAAATCATTTACTATAAGTAGGGACCTACTGAAATAGTAGACTCATTGTGGGCTCTGTGAAAAAGCATGTGCCCTGCACTTTTGGCAGGCTTGCTACTCGCCCCTTCCCCCCCTTCCCTCCCCCCCCCAAAAAACAACAAAAACTTACCAGCAAGCAGAGAAGCCCTGCAGTCTGGGAACATGGCAGGGAGGGTGAGGGGAATGGTAGAGGGGGTGAGGGGGGCGTGGGGGACAGCTTGCAGCAGTGAGCAGGGCGGGCAGTCCTGCATCAGGGCCCCAGATCATGCACAAAGCATTCGCTATGGTGAACGCACAGCATATTGTTGAGTAAAACCTGTCACAGGACAAGAGGCCACCACCACCTGGGGAGGGAGCAAAGAAGAGGAGGGCAGTAAGTCAGGCACGACCTGCAAACTGCCAGCCCTCATAACTTTACTGGGTTCACTGCTGCTGGATTTTCTAGCCTTCCCCATAGTTGTACTAGATATTCAAAGAAAAAAATTGACACCTCTTAGGAAAGGGAATGTGATTCCAGGGATATGAAAATGGTTGGATGTGAAAACACTTTTACCATCCGTGTCAAAAGGATACTCCAGCAGTGCATTTTATTATGTCCAATGTTATATTTCCTTTTTATACAAATTGTTACTTCACATATGAAGCGTGTTATATGCATGACAGACTTTAAAAGAAGATTCTTGATTGTTTTCACAGCAAACCCAAGGAACCAATGTTCAGTGCAGGTAGGTTTTCTTTTCATTTTCTCAATATCTATATTTATTACTTCCAGTGAGTTATGGATGTCTCAGGGTACTGATGTTAGAAACTTTCACCTGCAGGCACTCGTGGCCTTACTTTAAAATGAGCTAGTCATTATGACAAATGTGAAAAAACAAAAACAGTGCTTTACCAAAAGAGGAAGTGCATTAGTTTGACCTGTCTCCCCAGTGTCTGTCTGTACAGATTCAGTCAGCTATTAAATATAAGTGCCAAAAAATCCCACTGAAGAGCCCAGTCTATACAGATGTTGGGCTGTCTGGGTCAGACTAAGGTGATGCTTTTTCTGGGCATGAGCTGTGTTCAGTGCCGGGGCACACCAAGCTGTAAAGCGCTGTTTTTTGGTTTTGTGTTTTTTTCACATCTGTAAGCAGCACTAGTTTTAATGTCCAAATGAGTTTAACTTACAACTGGAAACTGTTGACCAAAGAGTAAAGAATTAAAAGGCAATGGATAATAATCATTTTATCCAGTAGTGGTGCTAATCTGCGAAACAGAATTAATATTTTTATGGATTAAAGAGTTGCATGAAAATCCAAACTATGGTGCTTGGTAGCGATGAGTATTTTAAGGATGATTTTCATACAAGAGTATGACTGAGCAAATGGTATTAAGAGATTTCACATTTGTCTCAATGCTTTTCTGACCAGATTAGCCAACTGACAAAAAAGCAGGTTATTTTTTTGAATTGTCATTCTAAAAACTTGTCTTTTGACCTAATGTCAAGCTGTATTCTTTCTTTCTTTCTTGTGTATTATTGCCAGTTCTGAATCCTCAGTGTAAATGAAGGCAGACTTTGGCATTACCATTTGCACTTCAGAAATATTACAAACGATCCTTTTTTTTTGCATGACACATAATAGAATGCAGATTACTTCCCTTGTCTATGTTTCCTGTGCAGAGCCAATCAAAATGTCAATACAATCTTACTTTTTAATAAAATAAGCAAATATAACTGATTTGCTGACTTAACAGATTTGTTCACAGTAAGTGTCACTTTTTGTAGACATTTTTTGGCTATTATACATTAAACTGGAAAAAGGCAGGCTTCTTCTTGGGTTGTTAAAGTCCCAAGAAAATACTTAGGCCCATGCTTAAGGATAAGCACTTACATATTAAGATGAGTAGAGCTTATTTTAAGTATGTGCTTAATTACTTCACTGGATCACAGCTCAAGCCTTTTTCATGGAAACTTGTGCTGTAGCATAAGAAAATAGCTTCTGAGCGACTAAACTGAATTTTCTCTCATATTTTTTTCTTTTGCTTTTCTATTAACAGAAACATTTGACATGAATAATCTTTGTTTAAAAGTTTTCAGTGAGATTCCAACTGAGATGCAAATTAGTTATTTAGCCTCTGTGATCATGACCATGCTCTAATTCAGGCAAAATAAGTAGTCCTAAAAATTGATTTTATTTTTAGCATGCAATTTCATAGTGAAGTTTAACAATTTTTCAAATAGTAAAATAGTTCTAAATCTGGTGCTGTCAGCAAGAAGAACAGAACTTTGAATGCACTTACACAGATTTGAACGCACCATGGGTTAATGTTTTGCCAAGGAGTAGGTTAGCCTCTAGCAAAATACTTCTGAACAACCAGTAGAGAAAGGTCTTAGGTGAGCCTCCTGTACGCAAACACATCTTCATCTAGCACTTCTGTCTCTGTCTCTGTAATCACAAGGGAAGCGCCGTGTGACACACTGCAAAGGTAGGCTTCACTTCCAAGACCTCATAGCTCTCTAAGCAAAATCATTACCAGGTGACAGAAGCTGTATGTTTGTACAGCCATCGTAGTACCTTTATATGATTTTGATACTGCTAAACTTCTTCAATTTATCTTTTTAAGTCAAAATAGTAATGCAGTATCTATTAGAATTATAACCCCTGGATGCACTTTCATAGTAACAATGGGTTATAATTTAGATTTTTGTTGACTTTGGGAGAAGAATTTTTTTTTAATTCTATGTTGAGAGAGCTATATGGAAACACATGAATGTTTCACTGTGTTTGAAATGGTTTTTTGCACTCTGCTAAAATGTCCTTTGATATAGAACCTGCCCCTTTATTGGCTGTTTTGCTGTAAGCCTGAGTATGTTTATAGAAGCATTGGTTTTCCCTTGCTGTATCTTCCATGGTAGATTGTAGATGTAGCTGAATTATCAGTAAATAGAGCTAGATATCTAACTAATTTTAAATGCTTTTTGCTCAGTATGATAATATATATAATGTATTTTTTTTTTTAAACCATAGCTAAATTGTACAGTCAATACGCACATTTGATGCATGTTTGTTGTTTGTATCTGTGGTATAATCATGGATCTTGCTGTGGATTTTAGAAAGCATTTATTCCTAACAATGTTTTCACTAATCAACATCTTTTACCTTTGCATCTAATAACAATAAGTTCTTATAAAAATTGACTTATTTTGCCATGAGGCCAAATTTTTGAAAGAGCTTCAACCCCATGATGAAATGTTATGCTTACAATCAGTAGAGAACTCAATTGCAGATCCAACTAACATTTAGTCATCTGCCTTCTTAAATGCAGTAAATGCTGTCCTTTGCTATCCTTTACAGCCATAGTTTATTTTGCACCTGACAGTGTTGCAGGTGCAAATAACAACAACAATAATGATAATAGTATTAGTAGTAACAATGATAATAAGCTACTTAAAAATTTGGCCCTTGATTCATTTTTATAGTCCTCTAATTACTTTCCTTGTTTATACCTGTATACTCAAAGTGATCTCCTGTTTTATACGTTTGGTATAAGAAAGTAAGGGGAAAGGATGTGGGGTAGTTTTTATGCTTTAGTAACTTCTGTCATTGTGATTAGTACATTTCAAGTGACAAGAGCAGTTCTCTGATGGATAAACTTCCCCAGCTCCCATCTTTAACAATCATGATTAGAGTTGACGTTGCTAAAAATCTGTTAGCTTTCCAAATGTGACTGACACCATGCCCCAGCATTAGTGCGGCTGATCTCAGCCTAATCATAGAGGCATTACATGATAATAAATATAATCCATGATTTTTCTGTATAAAAAGGTAATTTGTTTCTTTATATAGAACTAGAAATTGAATTTATTTATAAGTATCCAAACATGCCCTACAGTATTATCATGCATCTTGAATTCCATACATCTGTTAAGAATTTAATTGTATCAATTTTCAACATTAAATGTTACTTTTTTCACTTAGAATTTTGAATTTAAAATTAGTTATTTTTATATAAATGCCCTATTATATATATAAATGCCCTATTATATATTTTATATATAAAATATTATATTTTTTTATTATAAATGCCCTATTTATATAACATTGTGCTGCCACAGATAAGTATGTTCTTGCATCAAATGGATTACAGTCTAAAAAGCAAAGGTACATATGTTTCTATCGTACAGTAACAAAATTGTACTTCAAATCTTTTACATTTATTTGCTCAAAGAATTTCAACTGTGGGTGAGGCAGGGAATTATAATGCGTGCTTGTAGTCCCACTAAAAATGCTTCAGGGTTTTGTTTTTTTTAATTAAAATAATAATGGCATGTGCGTAACGATGCTTTAAAATCTTTGGTTTAACAGACCTTGTAAGTTTTATTTACATAATTTTGTTACTTCTGCCCTTCCATTTTCTGTGCCTGTGATTATTCTGTCTAGTAACTCTACAGATGTCACTGACTCCAAAACTGCTTGATTCACATGAAAACAAGGCTGAATCTCTTGATCTGCTGATGGAGCAGGAGGAGCCAGCAAGTTCTGAATCTGGACAAACTTCACCAGAAGTTCACAGGACACTCTCTTTGGCCTTGCCAGTTTCTAAAAGTCCTAGTCAGACCTTCATGCCATTTCCTAGATCTCCTAGTTTTATAAGCCCCATGAAGTCCCCAAGTCAGTATTTTCAAATCTGTTATTAATTCATGCTGCTATTCCCAGACATTAAATAGAAGACCACTCACTACAGTATTCCAAGCATTTTCTCGTAGAAATGTTCACTTTGGTCAGCAAAGTTCAATTTGTAGCTCCTTCCCTGTATGCCACTTTTTTCGTTTTATGATGTGTTGTCATTATTGTCATTCTGTTTTCAATGTTTTAGCAGTTCTTTAAACATTTATCTTTTCTGCATGTACATCGGCATGATTCCTTTTACTAATTGTTTGTGTTCTTTATACATAATGTATCTTTAACATTGTATCAAGTGTAAAGTATATCTTTACGCTGAGATGCAAAGACTACAATTAAGTGTTAAAAAATATTTTAGATGCTCAAATGTAAATATCTTTAAAAAATAAATAAAAGAATATTAAGTGTCATTTCTGTGTTAATTGTAATTTTTACGTTTGTGGTTTTTCCTAAGTTTTGCTATAAAAGATGTGTATATATATTAGTAGTTTTCCTAGAAATCATTAGTTTCAGTCTTAATCCTTGTATTTTTTCTGGTTCTGCATTGCATAATCTGATTCTAGTTTGCTGTTTGTCTAAAAATATTTAAAGGAAAGAAGGGGTTTAGGTTGTAACCGTGTTGGTCTAAGGATATAGGCAGACAAGGTTCCTTGGGTGAATTTGATATCTTTTATTAGACCAACCCAAATGGTTGGAGAATAGTTATTAAGCAAGCTTTCGGGTTCAAAAACCCTTCGTCAGGCTCAGGAAGCTGCAGCAGTTGGTGTGTGCTCTTCCTGGATTTTTCATTCCATCCAGGAAGAGCACACACCAACTGCTGCAGCTTTCTGAGCCTGACGAAGGGTTTTTGAACCCGAAAGCTTGCTTAATAACTATTCTCCAACCATTTGGGTTGGTCTAATAAAAGATATCAAATTCACCCAAGGAACCTTGTCTGCCTTTAAAGGAAAGAAGGCCTTTATGTACTTTTTTCATAATCTCCTTCCAGTATTGGTTTGTAATTTTAAAAAAAAACAAAAACCTTTATATTTTATAAGTTTGAAATGGCTTATTACGCAAAATTATTATTAGTTGAAATGGCAGTTAGGAGGGGATGGAACAACAATAGATTTATACACTGGTGTGTGTGTGTTTGTAACTCTAAACTTTTCTGATCTTTTATAGAGGAAGGATATGTAAAAATGTTTCTTCGTGGACGTCCCGTTACCATGTACATGCCCAAAGATCAAGTGGAATCTTACAATTTGGAAGCAAAAGTAGAACTACCAGCCAAGAGGCTTAAACTGGAATGGGTGTATCCTTTTCATGTTAGGGCATTAGTAGAAACCATTAGTTTTGTAATGATTTGCCTTAAAATTTAGTTCTGAAATGTATTTCGTAAAATTAGAGTCATGTTATTGAATGAGTTTCATTCATGAAGTCTTCACCTCAAATAGGTGTTGAGGTTGCTGCTTCAGGCTTTATGCAAAATAGCGGAGCAACTCAAGGAAATTTTGCTTAAATGTTGCCTGAAGGTTATGTTTTAAGCATGTTAATTGTAAGTTTAATTAGGAGTGTTGTAATAATGTAGTGAACTGTGATTACTAATTCTATCATACACAAAACAAGTTTGCTTCTTTTCTGATGCATATCAGTAATATTGTAGTTTTTCATACTGTAGTTTTTAACAATGCATAGCATTGTCTCCTTGAAGAATGCTGTGATTAATTACAATAAAAGGATAACATTAAGAGTCATATTCCTGTAATTTACAAAATACTTATGATGATAGAAATGAAGGTCTATCTTGAAAGAAAAGATTGGAGCCTAAAGTTAAATTTTTTAAACTACTTTTGGGTACTATACATCACTTTATCTTTCAGAAGCACTGACAAATAAGCAGTTGCCAATAACCTCAGTGTGTGCTCAACACAGTTATATATAATCTCTACTTTGGGGTCGGGGGGAGAAGGAAACAAGAATCCCATAATTTACAAGATGAATCTTGGGAGGGCAAGGATCTCTATTTTTTATAAGACACATTTTCCCTAGGCCTTTCCTATTTTAAATAGAGTGTGCAGATGTTTACTAGAGAAGCAGCAGCAACAATTTGGCATTTGTATGATTCTGGCATATGTTGTGTCCTGGATAAAACATAAGGATAAAAAGATTTATTTGTTTATCTTGAAATCTGTGTAATCTTTGGACTGAGATTTGTTCTTTGTAAAAACCTGTCTTTTTAAGAAGAGGCTTTTATCACAACAATGAAACTGTGTTTGCCTTGTCTTTGAAAAAATAACACAGACCACATATAGTCTATTTCTAAACTGTATAAATAGAACTGCTTGTGGTTTTAAAATGTAAATGTTCCCAGTTCTCCTCTCTTTTTTCCAATGATAGATTTAGTACAATGATTTTCACTTGCTTGTATTGCAGTTAGACCAGTGGTGTACTGCAGTGCTGTGTCACCAGTCTCCCACCGCCAAATTTCCAGACCCATTGTGAGCTCTGCAGACTGGATGACATAGCTCTGCAGGTCAGATCACGCTGACCCAGGGTTGTGCCATGGCTGTATCCACTGTGCCAGGTTAAGTCAGTGTGCAGGATAATGCCATGACCAATTGTGGCATACAGGGTCAGGATAGCATGTCGAGTTGCACAGGTATGCTGGATTGCATTGGTGGACAAATCTTTGGACAGTGCCCTACCATTCCAGGTACAAAGGTCATTTTTGAAGCATCAAAGTGCTATAGCTCTGGCAGTAAGGGATGGGAATGAGCACTTAGCCCAGCAAACATTGAAATGGGAAAGTTGGAGGAGTGTACCTCCATCCACACTTTGGGGGCACCAGGGACTCAATGACCTGCAGCTAGAGGGGTTTTCCGTTTTTTTGCTTTCTCTTCTCTCCTGAACATGAGTTCAGCCTGTATTTGACTGCTCCGCAGTGTGTTCAGCTAACTTGAGATTCCTGGAGGGTGGAGGAGTCCTTCTACCACAGTTTTGGGTTCCCAGGGGCTCAGGGAGAGGCATGATGTGGAGTGAAGGATAAGTAGGGATTGAGAGCATAGCTGGGGGTTAGATAGCTTTTACTGACCAGACAGTGTAGGGGCACTCATTGATTAAAAAGTGGCACCAAAAGGGGAAAAAGGGAGCAGTACAGTTTGGTCTGTGTACCATAGCAGCCACTTAGTGGTGGAGTGAGGGAGAGTAGGTAAGGAGCAATGCATTGTGAGATACCTGAAGGACTGATCAGACCCATGTCACATAATGTTGGTGTCGATTCATAACATTGATCCAGTTTAGAGTAACCAGTTCAAAAAAGTGCTTGATTTTCCAGGCACATTTTTTAACCATTCCAGGCCACTTTAACGTGATTTAACAGGTTGCTTTGTCTGCTTCAGGCTTAAACTTAATTTAAACCCATCAAACCCACTGCAGTACTGAAGCTTGAGAAGGACTTTGAACGTGACATCTTCTCAGCTTTCGATGGAGAACTCTGCCTGTCAAATGAGCTGGGGAGACTGCATGAATATTCTTGGTAGAAAATCTGAGACATGGACAGTGAAGGCTGATATTAATACAGTGTTGAGGCTTGCACTGGTTTTAATACTTTAAGAAATAAGTAGGATATGATAATAAGTAGGAAAGCTATATGTTACAAGTGTTGCTTGGGGAAAATGTGCGTATTAAGGAGGAAGTTGTTGGAGACTTCCAACAAGAATGGTTTTAGTGGGATGTCAGGGGGTTGGAGTAGGATTGGAAAGGGTTTGGGATGGGCAACAGAGGAGAGTTTTGAGAGGAGCAACAGGTAGCAGTTGTAAATGAGCATTCAGTAATCTTAAAGTTAAAAGGGAGAGGTGAGATGAGACAGTAGCTGGAGAAATGAGCTCCAGGATGGATTTTTAAAGGCAGAAAAGACTAAGAGCTTGATTTATGATACACTGGTGTAAACAAGAAGTGGACACACAAGGAAAACCCCTACACTAGTGTAACCTACCTGAATCTAGTGCAATATTACCAAAGAAAAATCAGGGGTTAAACTATGCTAGTGTAAGTTAAACTGGAGGAAAGTGCCATGTGTCCCAAGCTGTTTTGGGGTAGACATTTTTGATAGGAAGAAAGGACCTCCTCTTCTGCCATCAAGAGATGAAGTGCTGTCACAGCATCTGTTGTAAATTAGCAACCTTGCTCATCTCTTCACTCCAGATCCCATTGTAATTTACACCAATCTACAAAACCAATGATAATTACACCTGAGCAAATCTATCATGCTCAGGACCCAAGGCATGTTGATATTGTGAGGGGAAAGACTCATAGAAAAGTGACAAGTTAAGAAAAAAGTTAAAGGAAGGTTAAAGGACTGGGCACAAGGGAAATTAGAATATTTGATTGACCCCTGGGGTCATTGAAGGGTAGAGGAAGAAAGTAGAAGAGAAGGTTCTGCATCTATGAGAGGAAAAAGAGGGAGATAGGGCTGTTCAAGGAAAAGGGGGAAGAGAAAATGAGCTAGAGCATGAGGAAGGCCACCTTCTATTTTTCTAATTCCTTCTCAGAAGAAATTGGTAAGTTCCTCTTCAGAGAGTGAAGTAGAGGTGGGTGAATGATACTGAAGTCCTGGGATTCAAGTTGGAGAAGCAGATTGTTTAGCTAGGAAGATAAGGAAGAACTAACTGAAGAAGAAAACAAATTTGCAGGGGAGGAAGTCAGCCTGCCATAGGATTTCTGCCAGAGACACTCTACAGTGTCTGTCAGATACTCTGGCACAGAAATGGAGGAAATAGTTGCTGGATCTGAGCCAGGGCCAGAAGTTGGCTAGGCCTTGTGGTGGGGAGCGGGGGAGGCAAAAGAGTCAAGACGGAAGAAAGTATAACATCAAGAAAATCCACAAATGTATCTGGATAGAAGGAAAAGGTGGAGAAGATTGAGAGCAGATAAGAAGTATCACCTGAAAGTCACGGTATGTTAGTGATGGTGTTGATAAGTGCATTTGTAAGAGATTCTGTGGTGGTCTGAGAGAAGGAACTTAACACAGAGAGATTCAAGAGAACAAGGAATGGTTGGTGATGGCCAGTTGAAGAGAAATGTCCCTTTTAGTGAGTGGGAGATTTGAAACGAGGGATATGGATCAAACAAAAAGGAATTTTGGCTGGAGATCTAAAGGTTGGATTCTTGGATCCAAGTTTTGGTGCCTAAATACAAATGGTTTAAGGTTGTTGGGTTGTTTTTTTTCAGAACTTCAGAGCAGCCATCAGTCCTGTTGAAGTCAAAGGTTGCTGTAGGTGCTCAGTTTCTTTTTGGTAACTGAGGAAACCTTTTACTTAGGTACCTGTCAGTGAGGTTACCCCTGTTTGAAAATGTTGGCCTTCCATTCTACGTCATGTCAATGCAAAGTTTAACAGCAGGGTCAAGCTTCCATTACCATAGTGAATAATGCATGCATGTCTTGTTAATGCTGTCAAACAGGATTTTTCAGTCTTTTTATATCACAGAACTTTTCTGTAGTAATCAACTGGGAATCCCTCCCCATACTGGAGGGGACCTTTCTGAGACATCGCTTCCATACTGGCAGTTGAGGGTGGTCGTAACTCCTAGTACAAACTAGCAACAAAATCTGGACTGTTGTGTTTTACATGCTGTACTAGTATATTAGAATGTATGATGCAACCTTTTATAATTTGAGATCCAATCTGCTTGGTAATGACTAGTGTAATGGAATCAGTGATCCCAAACAAAGGATAATGCAATCAATCCTAATATGTAGTTGGATGTACTGAATGACCTACCAGAGTTCTCTTCCAACCCAACTATTATTCAATAGGAAGCACACTTGAAACAAAACCTGTATTGTTCTAGCCTGAAACTTGCAAAAATGTCAAGGGTTATCTAAGAAAGTATCTGTAAAACCCTGCAACAGTCTCTATTACAGTATGTTGCTTATGTGCCTTGCTTGCACATTTTCAGAGACTTGCAAATTGTGGGGTATTTTAGCACTTTCACTGTATTTTCATGCTTCTATGATATTTTCTATGTTTCTCAGATTTTTAATTCCTAATAAACAGTGTTATTTCCATTTTAACAAGCGTGCTAGCTATGGGTACAGGGGTCGGGACTGTCGCAATAACCTATACCTGCTTCCAACGGGTGAAACTGTATATTTCATTGCTTCAGTTGTTGTATTATATAATGTTGAAGAACAACTTCAGAGACATTACACTGGTCACAATGACGATGTGAAGTGGTAAGTGTGCACAATACTATTTTTCATAAGAATTTAATCTGAGAAGCTACTTAACCTAGTATGGTTTTCTCTTTTTTTTTTTTTTTAAGCTCTAATTCTAGTAAATTAACCATTAAGTCAGTGGTGGCCAACCTGTTTGGCAGGTGTGTCTAAAGTGAAGCCCTGTGCCATCACTGAGTGCCGCTTGGATGCCCCCCCACATCCTCCTCCTCCTCACCTGATCAGCAAATTTACACACCCTGCAATCATCCCTTCATTTCACTGCATAGAAAAACATTAAGGGTGTGTCCAGACGAGCATGCATGTGCCTCTTTCAGCATCTCAAAGCCCTTTGAAACGCTTCAAGAGGCACATGCGGGAACAAAGAAACATTCCCCATGCTACAGATTTGCAGTGTGGGGGCAAAACTAGACCCCTGGATATCCAATAGGGTAGCCAGCCAGAGCATCTCTATGATTGGCCCTTGCCCAGGTGCTGAAGGGAGCTGGATCTGGGTTCCATGCCGGTAACTAGCTTTGAGCATCAAGGACAATAAAAAGTCTTTTTTCAGATATGTGGGGAGCCGGAGGAAAAGTAGGGGCAACATTGGACCCCTGCTGACCCAGATGGGGCAACTGACACCTGACGCCCCGGCAAA